GGGATCACATTCTCCCTTTCATAATGAAATAGCCTCTTGAGTTTAGGATTACAATTGATCCAAAGAAATATGAAGAGTTGGTATTACAAAGTCTAAATGAGATTATTAGGTGGAAGGAAGTAACTAGGTTTGGATGCTCTCAACTTTTATAAAATGAGCCTCCATGGAGGACTGGGTGACACTGGAAGAAATACCAAGTTGTTTTGCCACCATCTCAATTAAAAGAAATCATGGAAGAAAGGAGAAATGGATGATCATAAGAACATGGATTGATGGCCTAATGGTATTATCATTGGACTTTTAATCCAGAGACCCAGGTAATGTTCTGGGGACCTGGTTGAATCACATCATGGCAGATGGTGGAATTTGAATCCAATAATAAGAAAAAGAAACTCTGGATTGAAGAGCCTAACGATAACCATAAATTCATTGTTGATTGTTGGAAAAACCCATCTGGTTCACTAATCTCCTTTAGGGAAGCAAACTACCATCCTTACCTGGTCTGGCTGACATGTGACTCCAGACCAACAGCAATGTGATTAACTCCTAACTGCCCTCTAGGCAATTAGCGATGGGCAATAAATGCTGATCTAGCTAGTGATCATATCAATGAATGAAAACATAGGAGTACAGGTGAATTAGGTTTGTATGTGCATGTACAAAATGACTTGCTGATATCTGCCCTTAATTTGCCTTTTGCTCACACTAATCTCAGTCATCCTGTCATACTTTCAATTCAGTTGGATGTAATTTTCCCGGTTTTCCTTTTCCATATGGTTTACTATCTTGCGTGCTGTTATAATGGCACATTTCTGGTAACCTCTCCAGGCTGAAAACATTAACAGTCTGAGAACAAAATCTGAAAGGATTTTGACAAAGCTCAAAACAGTGTAAGGAATATTTTTGATTGTCTTGAAATGTGAGCTAATTGGAATTTATTTTACTGATGTGTACATTGAAATCCATACAAACTAGTGGCAAGTATATGTAACTCCTTATATCCATTCTATTTTATTGCTTATGATAAAACAAAATTAAGCAGAATATATGAATAAATATGGATTCCAGTTATTCAATCACTTCATTCAAATTGTGTAATAAATATATTAGTAAATTACTGTTATGCTGTGCTACGTTTCTTAGTTGATTTGAATGATAGTGTGATTTAATTTCTTGAGTGCAGAATTGACTTTAAACTACCAGGAAAGGTTACAGAGAGATAGCAATAAAAACTAACTGCATTAGGTCCACCAGAATTTGGTTTTAACTTTAAATTCTTGTCCCAGAAGGAAAATCTATTAACAGTTGTGAATTGAGCATACTATCTGACTTGTCCAGTATAGCTCAAAATCAAGCTCCAGTATTTCCCCTTCATTCACCAACTACTTCTTTTAGCACTTAATGCACCGTCTCGTACATCTGAGACTAGCACTTGATTTCAGATTGATGTTTGAGCAACAGTAGTTCCAGCCACAGCTGTAAAAAGAGGGAATTCAGTCACTTTAATCACTAAAGAACATTAATGGTTCAAAACAGTGAAAGTGTCAAGGTTGCAGACTCAAATTAAAGCCCAGACAAGTTGTCTCTTGTGGCCTGTGTGAAGCATGTAACTTGCTGCATTTATTTATGTACCTCAGGAATGTGACTAATTTGTGAATGAGAATCTCATGCCTAGGATTTGTTCTGCATTGATAACTCTTCTGTGAATGTATGATGATTACTTATGAAAGCATTTAAGATGAAAGGAGGTGGAAATCCACTGGAAAACGCTTCTAACTAGCTAACAGGGTGCAATGTGTACAGACGTTGTCAAAATGATCTTTTAAACAATAAAATGATCAGCATCCCCAGGAAGGATCACGCTTGTAATGTCCCAGGATTTATGTTGCTGTCTTGTAATACAACAGGAGCCGTGTCACTTTGAATGTTGGCTACAGCCAAGTGGCATCTCTAGTTTAAAGCATTGAGATTAGACTCGACAACTCAGCCAATTAGTGATAATATAGGAAAACAATCCGAGCTGTTTATTGCTCATTTCTATCAGTAATTCATTTGACCTATATCAGCAGTAAGGTACTTTTGGCAGTCAACATGTCTTTGAACTTTACAGACGTAGCCGTGGAACCAGCCAGATTGTTCCAAACCTTGAACAGATGGGAATAGTTAATATTATTGCCATCATTTGTCACAATACAAAACTGTCTAAAATAATACTGGATATGAGCCCTGAGTTTCACATTGATATACAGTGGAGGAATTTAGCAAATCAGGTGTTAATGATAGTCTCAATAAGAGCCACAAATAATGGCAAGCTAATCTTCCTTCAGAGTTGACCACATGTTAATCCACAAACAGGAGCCCTTATTAAGACCGGTAGGTTCTGTTTCCTTTTTAGGGATATAATGTCCATATCACTTCAGAGCAGGTTTCAAGATTTTCCTTTAGAACTGGTAAGGAACTAACCAGGCACAATCTCTACCTAACAGGATCTTGTGGAGAAAAGATCACTTGTATTGTCAGTCAGTGAAACTTCATTAACAGTTTTAGTGAGTTATTGTTTTAATTAATTCTATGAAAGTTGGGAGTGTTTTTCATGAAATTTTCCTCATTTAACTCTTATTCCTCAACGTTAAAACCTACAAATGTCTTATAAATAATATCAAGGATATCTAAGTGTCAAAACAAATTCAAAAATAAATTATTAATAATGACACACCTTCATTCTCATCACCTCCATGTCAACACTTGGTACAGTAATTTAATATCTTGGAAATCATTCTTCTGTTTAGCCTGTCACACAGCAATTATATTTCTCTACTGTGTGGCTGTATTTTGCTTGTCTAGACATTCCTTTAATGATGTGAATTAGATGAATTAGTTGAATTTCAGTGGGTAACCTGCAAATTGTACTCATGCATATTTCTTAAACTAATCATAATAGCAGCTATCCTAACTGATTTGGACACTAAGTGGCCATTCTTTTAGGTACTAAGTACAATATGAAAAGTGCACTGTCCAAGTCAGGAGATTTGATAATACAGTAGATCAGAACACATATTTTACCCATCTCTTTAAAACCATCTGCATGTTGAGATGAAAGTATTTGTATTTTCAATCTTCCTAAAGACTGAAATTGATAATTTTTTTTGTACTGTCAACTTATGTTTGATATAGCTCTAACTTTATTGTAATTATTTCTTATCCTTAGAGTTTTTTGTGTTATGGGAAGTGATAATTTTCAACTTCAGGACCTGGGCAGTCGTTTGGTGGAATGTATCACTGACTTTTTACAGATGTTCTTAAGGGTGTTATATCTGCTCAATCAGGTCACAGCCCAGGTGACCAATGGTGGAAATAATCCCTTGAAACTAGCACAGATAAAGTTTGGTCTTCACTGTCTGCACCTAATACATCCTGGATGAGACAGGAGAATAATATTCCCATAGTGCAGCCTACCCCATTTTTCTTCAAAGTAAATGAATGAAAGAAAAATCAGATAACTCTATTGAACTATTTTACATTCTAAATTTATTCATAATTGAAGCAACTTTTAAACTAAAATGTTTAAAAAGAGAAGCATATTTCGCTACCTACCATACCTCCTCCTCAATAGTAATCCTGCTTCCCTAACCTCCTGCTCCCTGCAGACCCACAGAGTGTGGGCTCTTTCTCCCTTGCAGCCCATCCTCTCATCACTTCCCTTTCATTTCCAATCAAAACTCAGATTCAATCCATTCCAATGTAGATGTGCAGATCCTGATGATTCAGAACTGTCAGGGCTTTGCCAATCCTTGTTATTTCTAAATGTTCCCACACTTGGCCTCCCTCTCCTGAACCCATGCTGTGAATGGTGACTTTGGCAAAAGGCAACAAGGCAGAAATAGCTTTGAATGTTATTTTAAAAATATATGGATTACAAAAGCCTGAGCACTTCTGAATCCCCAGGACTCTCACCTCCATAATATCAGCTGTGATCAGAAACCCAAGAGCAGGAGAGGGAAAGTGCTCCGGAGTGAGCTGGGGAAAGAGAAAAAGTCCCATCATAGAGGTCAGGAAGTGGAAAGATGCTGAAACTCAGAAGCCGGAGAATAGGGAGAAGCTGCAAGTCAAAGATTAGAGAGGAGGAGAGTCCACAATTCAGAGATCAGGAATGTGGAGAGACCAAAATGTGGAGGTCAGGAGCACAGAGAGTCCAAAATGTGGAGGTCAGGCATGTGGAGACACCAAAACATGGAGGTGAGGAATGGGGAAGGACCAAAACACAGAGGTCGGGAGTATGGAGAGACCAAAACAAAGAGATCGGGGTGGGGTAGAGGCTACATTTTGAAGGTTGTGGAGAAAGGCAAAAGGTCAGGTAACAGGAGAGGCACCAATCAGGTTATGTTAAAACAAATCTCAACGATACCTAATGAGATTATAAACTCCATTAATTTACCAAATTTAAAGCAAAACACCATTAAGCAAGGCAACTTTAAATGAGGGCTAACTGTGCAAAGTCCCACCGTATAAACTTCTGAAGAAATCATCATTTCAAATCCATTTTCTATGAAATCTTGATTTGTTTTGTTCAGTATTTCGATACCCTAAGATTATTTTGCAAATACTGAATAATTTTTAAATGGTCTTTAATAATCTATTTCTATAAATGAAATCATACTTTGTTATTTGGAGTTCAGTTATATGTTCTGAATGTTCTGTTTCTCATAATCTCTATTTTATGTGACCTCAAAAACAATAACTAACTTCCTAGTGGAAAAAATTGTACCATTCGTAATGAGTCTTATGAATTTCAATACAATGTTAATGTCATCTGGCACTTGTTGGAATTACTGATTTCTAAAGCTGCTTGTAATGTATCATCTTATATATTCTATTGTTCATGGTGCGTTAGCATTGTTTATCATGGGTGAAGCACATTATGAACTGTTTGTTCTATTTTAATGCACTGTGCACTTCATGGCTCAGTATCTCAGTAACCCTAATATTGTTCTGTGTTCCAGGTAAAGCTTATCCTCCTGAATTCTATTATGATACGCCAAACCCACTCTGGCAAAACCGAGCACGCGTGTACTCCTATATGTTGCAGTGGACTCAGATGAACCCGAATGCTGTTGACCGTATCCTTGCATATCGTTTGGGGATCAGGCAGGTATGAAATTTTAATCACCTCTATCTCTCCCTCCCGTAGAAATAATTTTGCTGTTCTTCAAGGAGTATTGCTTGAAGGTACAATGATGGGCACTAATTTGACCAGTTGTGCTGTGACAGTGGTTTGATTAGTGAGTTTAAAGGTGCAGTGTCTCTGCGTGATTTATTATTTCAGTACACTGGAGACGTTGTGAAGAAGAAATGTGATTTTTTATTCATGCGGTGATAAATAATATCATTGTTACTGAAAAGAATTACCATGTTGGCAGCAACTAGTCACAGGATAATTCTTTTCTTAGCTCACCAAAAATGGGTTCAAACATGGGAGCACTTCTTATGATTGTCTCAATTGTGCTTGTGGCAAATTTCCTTAAGGGTAGCTTCTGAAACTTATGACAAGCAGTAAAGATATGTAAATATATTCAAAAGATGTTTGCTTACAGCTGTTTGTATTGATGTTTTGCATGGTTCAGTCACTGGATGAGACTTGCTGTCATTATTTTTCATCATCTTGAGAAATATCAGGCAAAATGCAAGCTCTGTGAAAAAGATGAAGGTTTGGTGTAAAACACAAATGAATAGATCCTGCTCTAATGAAAATTGCAATAAAGTAATTTTGTAGAAAATGAATACATTTAGTCAAAGGGAGACTGGTATGTGAGCTTAATTTCTTCACAGAATTTCATAGTGTATTGGGTTCTTTCTTGTAACCTTTTGGCTTGCCTTCATGTCTAACACCATAAATATTAAACAATTAATGAGCAATTATTTCTCTCAGCTAGTTAAATGTTTGCACTAAAATGCAGTTAGATAATTTTAATCCAGTTCCCTGTGAACAGAAGCCTACAGTACAAAACCACTTCCAAGTAGAGTTGGAGTGTAGTGTGAGGATGGAGGATAACCCTCTGGTGGTGTAGTGATAGCAAGGTCCTATCATAGACCAACAGACCAAGGATCAAGTCCAACCTGCTCCAGAGATGTGTACTATCTTGGAGCAGGTTGATTAGAAAATATGTAGAGTGAGAAATGTGGGGCTGTTGTGGTACAGTGCTACTGTCCGTACCTTTGGTTTAGATGACTCAGGTTCAATATCTTAATAAAGTCTTAATATCTAAAAATATCTTAAGGTTCTAGGGTGGTTGTAAGATCCAAGGCACTACTTGAAAAAATCCCAGGGAATCTGCACACTTGCTCGCCGAGCCGGTGTGTTTGCTTGCAGACATTTTGTCACGCTGCTAGGCAACATCGTCAGTGCACCTCCGGTGAAGCATTAGTGTTCTGTCCTGCTTGTTATTTATATGCCTCAGTTTGCTGGGGTGGTTGGCATCACTTCCGGTTCTATCTTTCAGTGGTTTGTGTATCGGGTCCTGTTCAATGTGTTTGTTGATGGAGTTCCGGTTGGAATGCCTGGCCTCCAGGAATTCCCTGACATGTCTCTGTTTATCTTGTGTTATAATGGATGTGTTGTCCCAGTCGAATTCATGTCTTTCTTTGTCAGTATGTAAAAAAACACATTGAACTGGACCCAATATACAAGCCACTGAAGAACAAAACCGGATGTGATACCAACCACCCCAGCAAACCGAGGCATATAAATAATAAATGGGACAGAACATCAACGCTTCACTGGAGGCGCACTGATGATGTTACCTAGCAGGGTGATGAAACGTCTGCAACCAAACACATCGGCTCAACGAGGAAGTTTACAACCTCATCCACAACCTGAGCTACAAATCTTCTCAAAAACTTTAAACCCAGGGAATCTGACGTAACATTTATACCTGACCCAATCTCATTAAAACCAAATCATCTGGTCACTTCCATTATAACTGAGAATAGGGAGTTGACTGTGCACAAATTGGTACCTATGTTTGCTATGTTACTTTAATGGTGCTGCATGACTACTTCACTCATTACGAATTACTTTGATGATCTAGGGAAGTGAGCTCTTTTCCCTCATTTTGAGTTAAAATGCTTTGTTGAATAAGATTCATGATGCCCAATCTGCCATGGCTTGGAGTCACTTTACTCGTGCAGTTTTCTGCCTGCCACCCTTGTTAGTTATGCATCCGGACTCCACATTGCCTTTCACGTGGAATCACCTGGCGGAAAGGTAGAAGTGCTGGCCACTGCTGGGACCTTCCATTACTGAAGGTGCTTGTACCATGTTTGAAGCCCAGCTGCACCCACAACAGACACTGCCAGCCAGGACCCGTCTCTCACGTTGTGGTAATCCACCATTCTCAATGAGCACCTAGCCCAGAAAGACAAAGCAGCTCCGCACTTCACCCACAGAGACCTGGATGTGGTCGTGGACAGGATGGGCAGCACCTTATCCTGCTGACTGGCGAAGGAGGACACATCACTAGTTCGAAACAAGTGGAAAGCACAAATCACAGGCAGTGATAGTGCCGTGTCCATGTTAAACAGAACACATTGCAGTGCAGGAAGAGGTTCAATGATTTTCTGCGCTCCACAACGGTAAGTGTCACCACCTGCTTTCTGCGACCTCACACTCATAGGGGTACTACTCACACTAACTCTGCCACTGCACATGTCTGTCACCGGGGCTCACAGACTACACTTTCATTATTGAAACAGTATATCCTCTCAGTGGTTCTCGCTCACCTCATGCTTCCAAAGTACTAACCCTTTCTGCACTCTGTGCTTGCTAATCACTCACTGGGAACATTTTACCACCTCCTTGCTCCTGCATCGCTACTAATTGCTCTTCCATGACTTCAAAGCTCAATCCCTTACTTTATCTTATGGCAGGAAAAGTTGGCCCATAACCAGGCCAGCAAGTTCAAGACTCGTGAGGGAATAGCAGACATCAGGAAAAAATACCTCAAGTTGGTTGGAGAAGGGCACAGCTGCTGTCATGAGGATGTGGAGACCTCAAGGGCAACCGTTCAGCTAAGCTTCATGGCGCTGAGCTATGCTAATCTCCCATTCTTACCCAGGTTAATTCATTCTTATCCTGCACAAGCTTTATCCCACTTAGACAACTCATTCCCTCTCTTTGCCCGCGCTGCCACTGGTGACACCTAATGAAGGGCCAGCAGGAAGATGCAGCGCTGGAGACCCTCAGCTCCACCTCTACCTCTGAGGAGGAAGCAACTGTACCCTCAGAGGTGCAATGTCAAGACTTTGATGCAGGCTGTCCACCAGCTCAGGTCACCTTGGCGGGTTTGCTTTTTAGATTAGGCTCAGAAGCACAATCTGGTGAGAATATCCCTGGCATGTTTCCACAGCTGGTTGAGGAAGAAGGCCTACGTCTCTGAACCTCTGAGGACTACGACAGATGATGTGCCTACTCAGCCCCAGGCAGAAAATGATCCCATGGTGTAGGCCATTAATGACTTTGTTTAAATGCACAGACAGGCACAAGAATATCAGGCCAATTTGTCAGAAAGCATTAATAAACAGGACTGAAGGATGGAGGACCACATTAGTGGTATTTGCACAGTGCAGGCTCTGGCATGTATACATCTGGCTGGCGCCATGGTCAAGTTGGTGACTACCTTAGAGAAACAGGACATCCAGCAGAATATCAGAGTCTTCTCAGAATCTCAGAATATCAGAGATTTGTGCATGGATTTGCACTCTATTGCTGTAGCCATAGGCCTTCGACATCGAAGGCACAATAGAGTCATAGAGCTATACGGCATGGAAACAGACCCTTCAGTTGAACTGGTCCATGCTGACCAGATATCCTATATAAATCTAGTCCCATTTGCCAGCATTTGGCCCATATCCCTCTGAACCCTTCCTATTCATATCTCATCAAGATGTCTTTTAAATGTTGTAATCGTACCCACCTCCAACACTTCCTCTGGCAGCTCATTCCATGCAGGGACCACCCTCTGCATGAAGAAGTTGCCCCTTAGGTCCCTTTTAAATCTTTCCCCTCTCACCTCAAACCCATGCCCGCTAGTTTTGGACTCCCCCAACCTGGGAAAAGACCTCGCCTATTTATCCTATCCATGCTCCTCATGATTTATAAGCCTCTATAAGATCACACCTCAGCCTCCAATGCTGCAGGAAAATAGCCCCAGCCCATTCAACCTCTTCCTATAGGTCAAACCCTCCAACCCTGGCAACATTCTTGCAAATCTTTTCTGAACCCTTTCTAGTTTCACAACATCCTTCCTGTAGCAGGGAGACCAGAATTGCACGCAATGCTTCAAAAATGACTGAACCAATGTCAGACAGCAGTGTAGAATTCTTTCTCTGTTGATTCACTTTCCACTGCCTTTGTCTCCCTTTTTAAAGTGCCGTTGTTTTGATAATTTTTTCCCGAAGTTCCAAAACAGTGCAACAGCTATAAGACAGTAATTACTGCTCCTAGAATTCAAGGAAATCAGCTCCACCACTGAAAATACCTCCAAAAAGGAGCAGATCTTACAGCCACAACGTTTTTCCCGTCCTCCATCTTGGATTACCCAGGGGACAAGGGCTTGACGCAGTGTTCAAGCATTTATTTCCAGAATCTTCTCTCTCCGCCTTTTCATCCCTTGCTGCAACTTTAAGTCACTCCTTTAAACCAACCTCTTTGACAAAGCTTTTGGTCATCTCTCTTAAAGTCTCTATGTGGCTTGGTATTAGGTTTTGCCTGATCGTGCTCCTGGGAAGTTTTACTATGCTAAAGATGCTGCATTTAATTACAAGTTGCTGTTGCTGTTAACTAGAAAGAGTTAAAAGTGATAGCAGTACAATAGCTGTCTTACATTTCAGTGTTTTTCTGCTTACATGTGCTCATAATTACAAACAGTTTAATAAAGATTCTTGTTTAATGGATGAGACACTTTCAGGGACATTTTCTTCCTGTGGCTTTCGATTGTTCTTTGTGCCACTTAATTGCAATTGACACAAATACAATTTTCTGAACATAGTTATCTAGAAATGTGATGCAGTGTTAAAACTATTTGGTAATTCCAATAGTGCAATTGAGCTGACTCTAACTGACAAATTTAAACTATTTATGCAGGAATGGTTCCA